TTTCTCCAGATCATTTATAAATAGGTTGAATAAGACTGGTCCCAGGAAGACCCCTGGGGAACTCCACTAGTTACCTCTCTCCATTCTGAAAACTTACTATTTATTCCTATCCTTTGTTTCCTGTCTTTTAACCAGTTATCAATCCATGAAAGGACCTTCCCTCTTATTCCATGATAACTTACGAGCCTTCGGTGAGGGACCTTGTCAGAGGCTTTCTGGAAATCTAAGTACACTATATCTACCGGATCCCCCTTGTCCGCATGTTCGTTGACCCCTTCAAAGAACTCTAATAGATTAGTAAGACATGATTTCCCTTTAGAGAAACCATGATGATTTTTGCTCAACAAATTATGTTCTTCTGTGTGTCTGACAATTTTATTCTTTATTTATTTCCCTTCTGTTTAATAAATAACAATGTACTATGACATCTTTGCAGACCATTGTACCCACGAAAGCCCGTAAAGGTATCACGCACTACATAGTGAACATTATACAGGAAACCCTCACCATTCACAGTGTATGCAGAAATGCATCCACTGAGAATGGTGAAATTCGCAAATACTGTGAGCCATGGCTCCTGGCCCCCCCATGGTGCTCTTGAACTCACTGGGAGCTGCAGGAAACTCACTGTAGCTGCCGGGAGCCACAGGGAACTCACCATGGGAGTCGGGAGCTATGAGCCATGGAGAGTTCCCCATGGCTCCTGACCCCCAACACAACCACGAGGCCAGGACAGAAGACCAGCAAATATGGGAAACTGCTAATAGTGATTCCATGAATCGCGAGGGTCTCCTGTAATTCCATCAAAATGCAGCTTCTCACTACATAGCATGCTATCAAATAGTGCAAGGGGGAGAAAATTAAGCCAAAATATTGGGGCAAACTTTCAATATTACAAGAAGTACTAATGGATTTTTAATGTCCATGAAGAGCAGACAGGACCCAAAGCTTGTCTACACTAAGCTACTGTGTGAATTTAAAGTGCATTGTCTACTCTGCACCAGATCCCCATGCAGACACATTTACTGTGCATTAAGAATGCCCTCACACTTTGACTTAGTACACTTCCCAAGTGCAATAAGTCTACACACACAAAGACAGTGCACAGAAAGAGTACGTACATGAAGAGTTAGTGTGAACTGTAGAGTGGGGAAGGCTTTATCCCCATGTAGATAAAAATCCATCAATCAATAGTCGTCTGTTTTAAAATATAAATTTAAATAAAATGTGGGTTTTTTTTAGTCTATAGAATCAAAATACTGCAGTAATTTGCATTATCCAGTTTTGATTACACTGGTGTTCTTGTGTTACATTAACTCATGCTTTGCAGTTCTGTACTGGAAATATCCTTTGATTGAGGATATCAAAACACATTACAAACACAACCAGAAACAAACTGAAAATTATTATTATTTTGTACTGCAGTATTACCTACAAACGCCGCACAGAGAGTAAGGACCCATTGTGCTGAATGCCATATAATAAAAAATCCGTTGAAAAATCAGTATTTTCAGATTTTTTTTTCCACTGAGACATGTGATCATAGAAGCAAGAAAGGCCATTTTTTAGTTTCACATGAGCAAGTTTCTGTAGGATTAAAATACCAGTTAGCCTGAGTGAGTGTTTCAACACAGATGATAGCATAATGTGATTTCTAGTTTGGTTCTGGCTCAATACCTGATGAGAACAAAGGGCTTTTCTGTATTTTGGCAATACCTACTTGGTTCTTCAGACTGAATACTCACTGCTAGACAGCATGAAAATGAATCATTATTTCTGACAGAGAATGATAGTTTTCCTCTGCAATATCAATTGAATGTTCACAGGGGGGATTTCTGACCCACTCCCTGTTGACAATTATTATTGAGTGTTTGATGACAGTTGCAGTTTCACCTCATCATGAGAGCTCTTTCTCTCTTCTTGTCTCCCTTGTTGTATCTTGTGAAAACACCATTAGATAAAATGGGCTCTTTAAGAGAAAATAGCTGTTGGCCTTGCCTCACAGAGCAAATAAATCCATAGAGCAAAAAGTGAGGGAGGAGGGATTTTTATTATAGTTCGTAAGTTAAGTAAGACAGAGATATAACTCTGAAGACCCCAGGATCATTTCTATTGCCTTGATAGAGTAGCGGGTGATGCTGGCGGACAGTGGACAAGTTTCGGTGAAGAGGCTGTTACAGACAACTCTCTCTGAACATGCTGTCTACCTCAGAGAGACAACACCCAAACACTGAACTCTGAATATTGGACTTGAGGATATGAGGGGACACTGCCTGGTCATGGCTGGCAATGGTCAAGCAGTCACCTGCGATTAACCTAGCTGCACCAGATCAGTGATAAAACATATAGATGGCATCATGAGCTTTTAAGGGCTGTGCCTATGAAAGCTCATGATACCATCTACATGTTTTGTTAGTCTATAAAGTGCAACCAGGCCATTTGTTGTTTTTTCCTGTACAGACTAACTCGGCTATCCCCTGAAGCTTCAGATCAGTAATGACAGTGCAGGGCTCTTTGATATCAGAAGATCAGCTGTAGGGTGTGGTCATGGGCACTAGGCCCTCCAAGAGTCACCAGGTGATCAGCTGTAGGGTGTGGTCATGGGCACTAGGCCCTCCAAGAGTCACCAGGTGATCAGCTGTAGGGTGTGGTCATGGGCACTAGGCCCTCCAAGAGTCACCAGGTGATCAGCTGTAGGGTGTGGTCATGGGCACTAGGCCCTCCAAGAGTCACCAGGTGATCAGCTGTAGGGTGTGGTCATGGGCACTAGGCCCTCCAAGAGTCACCAGGTGATCAGCTGTAGGGTGTGGTCATGGGCACTAGGCCCTCCAAGAGTCACCAGGTGATCAGCTGTAGGGTGTGGTCATGGGCACTAGGCCCTCCAAGAGTCACCAGGTGATCAGCTGTAGGGTGTGGTCATGGGCACTAGGCCCTCCAAGAGTCACCAGGTGATCAGCTGTAGGGTGTGGTCATGGGCACTAGGCCCTCCAAGAGTCACCAGGTGATCAGCTGTAGGGTGTGGTCATGGGCACTAGGCCCTCCAAGAGTCACCAGGTGATCAGCTGTAGGGTGTGGTCATGGGCACTAGGCCCTCCAAGAGTCACCAGGTGATCAGCTGTAGGGTGTGGTCATGGGCACTAGGCCCTCCAAGAGTCACCAGGTGATCAGCTGTAGGGTGTGGTCATGGGCACTAGGCCCTCCAAGAGTCACCAGGTGATCAGCTGTAGGGTGTGGTCATGGGCACTAGGCCCTCCAAGAGTCACCAGGTGATCAGCTGTAGGGTGTGGTCATGGGCACTAGGCCCTCCAAGGGTCACCAGGTGATCAGCCGTAGGGTGTGGTCATGGGCACTAAGCTCTCGAAGGGGCTGAACACCTGGTGGAAAAGGGCCCCTGCCCAGCCTGGGTGAAATGAGCAAATGGGCGAGGGTGGGCAGAGTGAGGACGAGCGAGCGGGGCAGAGCCGGGGCAGGCGCAGGGTGTTCGGGTTTGTCCGGTCAGAGAGCGGGCGCCTTTGTCTCTGAACAGGCTGACACCGGGCGCAGGTGGCTGCCAATGGGCCGTTGCAGAAGGGGGCTCACGGGATGGGGCCAAGGCCAGTGTCCAGGGAGAGGGTGGCACTGCCTGAGCTGGGGGGGGGGGCAAGAGTTTCATGGTAATTGTGCATGCTTCTCCAACCCCATTGGACAAGACTATGACCTCTGCCCCCTGACCTCTGCCCCCAAGCTCTTCTTGCACCGTTCCCTAACCTGACCCCAGGTTG